GGAGAAGAAAGATTGCATGTCTTTCTTATAAAAAGTGTGGGGATGCTATGATACTCTTTCAGAGTGACTCATCATTTCAGTGGATGTATCTGTGTGCCAGCCTTGTGTAACAATGCAAGAAACTACTGAACTACTATTGTTATGGATTATTTGGCCTAACGAGAGCATTGAAATGAAAAGCAAAACGATTCTGCAAGAGAAGCCCCACGGAGTATTGCATATCAAAGAAGTGACATTTCCCATTGTGACAGAAAGTGTGTTACATTAGCTGAACCAATTAAGTGCTGTGACCTTCACGCCAGTCCCAAACTTGAAGCAGTTAATTAGGATTGCATAGTCTACATTGTCACTGGCTGCACTAAGATGTAAAAGTAATGAAACAGATTTTTCACCTGTCTGCCGCTGCTAAAAGAAGATCCGTGGTTACTTTAATGGCGGCAGTCTCTGCAACTGCACAATACCCTCAATCAAGAGAGTTTAGATAAATGTTGTTTTCATTCATTGAAGCTCTTTGCTGTTTTGAACCAAAAAAACAACTAAAATTCTTGGATAAAAGCTGTAATTATTGGGATTTGAGTGATTAATGCTCCGATTTGTGGGGGTGTGGTTGAACTACTGCATGATTACAGCAGAAAGGAAAAAAGCAAGCGCGCTCCAGTGGCTTGGTCACAACATGAGGGAGAAAAATGCATGAATAACTTTCTCCAGATTTCTATTCAAATGGCATTAGTGAGCTGCCAGTTCCATGACCTGTGTCTTGCAGTGCAATAGAGGAAGAAATAATTTAGCAATTAACCTGTGAAGAAGAAATTAGATCTAATGCAAGGAATCAACATATGGTTTATATTTGCTCTACAAAAATTATTTTTGAGCCATTGCAGTTAGGGCCCCGAAACTGTGGAATTACCTGCCTGAGATGATCAGGGCTGCAAACTTTCTCTCGTCTTTAAATTTTCCACTTTTAAAGGGAGCTTTTCGTTGATTTAATGTATGTTTTATGACATTTTAAGTTCTTTGCGTTTTATATTGTATTACGTTTTATGGGCTTTATCTTATTTTATTCTCTTTTTGTTCTTCCCTTTTTATTGTAAAGCACTTTGTAACTGTCTTCTGAAAGATGCTGTATAAATAAAGTGTATTATTATATTATTATTATATTATTGTTATTAATAATATTTGTAAGGGACAAAGTAATCTGTTATCATATTGGATCTTATACATTTGATGTCATTTAACTTTTGTATTACACTACAGGCTCAACTGAACAGCAAAGATCAACCACATGATGTCACTGTTTTACATTAATTATAGAGTGAGCACATATACCTAAGGGCTTAAGTAGGAGAAGTTAACATTCTGAAATAGATTCAGTGAAACCTGCAGTTCTTAGATTTCCACAAAAAAATACAGGTTGGCCTTTAATGTAAAACACTTCTGTACTGTTTATATTTGAATAGGTGTTTGTTTTAAATCTTTACAGGTACATTTTCATTATCATTACATTATTGTGATCAACATTTGTAATGTATGTGACAGGTACCAGGTGTACAGTGTGTCACTTACTTAATGCTTGTAAAAATAGACACATTAAAAGGTGTACTGTTTTTTTTTGCTGCCTGTAGCACTCACTAATAGTAACAGCAATGTGTTTTTAAAAGGTAGAAGTCACTTAATGCATGTATTAAATGAAGAGCACCAATAACAGAGACTTTCAAATGGGCATAGGACAGAAGCTTTAAAGCCATGGCAATGAAAACTTTGAATATCAGAATATTTTGCCTCTTTAAAACCAAAATGGGCGATTATCAGTGGCCTTTAACAATGAGAGCACAGTGAGAGTGCACTTCACAATAAGAGCTTCTTTCAAATCAAGTGTGCAATAGCACTGTGCCCACTCTAATTGCCTACCTGAAACACTTTCTCACTTATGATCCTAATACATAATTTGCACGTGTGTATGCGTATATGTATGTGAGCTTTTGTGCACGTTCTTTGCGGTGTGCATGTGGTGAGTGTGCACAATCTGTGTTATGCTCCCCTCAGTCACCACATATCGCCCTGAGCACTGCCGCACACATACACTGACAGGCATTCCAGAGGCCGCATGCCTGCCCTCCACACACACATACCACTGGACCCACTGTTAGGGTCGCTCAAAGGGCACATGAAGGAAAACTAAGTAGTTTTTTTTTTTTACTAGAGGGCAACAGAGGGGAGCAGAAATTTCTATTATGAGCATTAACAAAAGAAGGTCTAGCATGGGTGACTTTCTAAAAACAGCCTTAAAGGGTTTAAAGTGCAGAGGTGTTAATTTTGTTTGTTACACGGACGGATATATTTTAAATCAAGTCATGCTTCTCATTCTTATTATATTATATATTATATATTATATATTATATTATATTATTATATTATATATAAGTTTAAAGGCTCCAAACATCCCACATGCTCTGTGTTACTTTAGGATAAAACCTCAGCCTTCTATAGTGTGCAAAGTGCAAAGCAGCTCCCAGGAACATGCTGAGGTGCTGTAATGTTAGCTGTGATGTTAGCAAGCATAGTTGCTAATGACAGGGAGGGTGAGAGCACGAGGAAGGTGGGTGGTGTGAACCTTCAGTTATCTGCCAGAGTGCTACCAGCCAATGAGAGCAAAAGGGGAAGCCACGCAGTAAATAAACAATTGCAACTGATATTCAGCTGAAAACAATGCTTGAATGAGTCTCAGAGAGGTGGAAATGCATTCCCACGCAATCACACAGGCTTGTTTTTATACTTTTACCGTACATTAAATGAAGTAGAACAAATAAATAAGGCAAATGAACATTTGGAAAAGGTGTAAGAAATGCAGTCTGTAGTTGATTTTTAAAGCCAACCTACTTGACATTTGGTGGAATGTGGAGTAAAACCTCAAAAATGCTGTTGTTCTGCTCCACCAGAGGAAGTGTATTTACATTGGAGTTGTACAATTGAAACAATGTGGTGAAAACCACTAATAGGTTGAACTGTATATATTGTGACAAAATGTTTTTAAAAATGAAGAAATAAATTGAAAGTCATGAACTTCCCAACTTCACTTGTGTGTATTTGCACAAGTGTGGATTAGTTCTGGCCCCTGTTGAACTACCTTATTCCTAAAGATATTTTTGACACCTGGCTTCAAAGTTTGGCCATATTTCTGGTGCTCCTACTTGGCACCCCTGTCCTATACATCCTGTGCGCTATAATTCCCTTTGGCTCTCTCTTTTACCTCTGAACTCCTTGAAGTGTTTTTTTCTTATTCCCTGTACATCCCGGACTGTTTGCCTCTCCAGTTACAGCCAGGGTACAAGCCATTCCCGTGCCAGGAAATGTGCTTGCTGGTTCATTGCAGCATGGAGTATATTTACTAGTAGGCAGCTTAAGAGCTGTCACAAAGATATTGCAGGTTCATTTGTTTGCATCATGCAACACATTAGCCCCCTACTCCCCCAATGCTTATAGGTCCAATTAGTGGGAAAAGAGTTCAGGCTAATGCTGCTTTTAAATTAACTTATTCTTTTTCTTTTTTTCCCCTGTCTCTGTGGAAATTATTACATGAAACTATACCCCATATTCCTAATACTCCCCTCAAGTCAATAATTCTGTATGAGTGAAACAGAATGTATGAAATATATGTCTATAGTTTAACCTTCTTTAAGAACACTGCAGAGTGCACTGAGGGGCAAAAGAACATTTCTGCAGAATTTCTGCTTTTTGATGTAGAACATTATATCCAGAAAAAAAAAAAAAATACATTTAAGGCAAGTCAGCACGACCAAGATATTATGTGGACTCACATTCTTATGCAGTGCACAATTTAAGTTCAACATTAAAAGATGTTTCTCATTTTGAGGCCTTGCCAAAAATAACCACCAACGATTAAGATGTAATGTAACATGTCTTTGTATCAGATTTAAGAGCTTGAATTTATATGTGTATATATATTACTATATATATATATATATTAAGGCCTGATTCAGATGCACACACGGAAATTACACGACACAAACCTTTAGGAACTACTCAGCCTGCGAGGCTCAGCGGTGTTTATTTAAAGATTTATTTTGAAAGGGGAGAAAAAAAAAATTCTCCTCAAGGTCCCAAAAAAAAAAAAAAAAAAAAAAAAAAAAAAAAAAAAAAAAAAAACAAAAAAAGTGGGAATGATTATCAGTCATTGATTATTAAGGTATTGCTAAACTACAGGCCAACTGAGTATTCTGTCTTTTCTACAGGGTTGAGTGTGTGTGCTGTGTGTGTGTGGTGTGTGTGTGTGTTGTGTGTGAGAGGAGAGAGAGGAGAGTGGAGAGAGAGACGGAAGAGAGAGGAGAAACGAACCAGAAGAAAGAAAGCGCTGAGCGAGGCTGAGCCCAACAGGTGGGACAGGAGAGACAGAAAGCTTGCCACAAAACAATACGAAAAAAACATGGGGTAAAAGAAGACACTAAACTGGACATGAAGGTGTTGCGTATTGACAGTCTGGAAGAAGTGCTCTGACATGGATCATTGATTCATTCATTGCAACTAAATCTGTATATAAAAGGCAAGGCAAACTCCACAAATAACTATCTTTGCTATCAGTATCCTCAGTTAACATTTTACGTAGAAAATAACAGCCATACAAAATGATGAATCCCTAAACTGGGATCCACTGAGCTTCACTTTGGGAAATATTTCCATTAGCATTTCGCCAAGACTTGGCCTGGCAGTTTTAAAAAGTAGATAAGGATTAACATTCCTTTTCAAAGGCCTAAATCTATATCGGGGTCTGGGCGCAATTGACTTTTTGTGTTCAATTGCTACAAGGATCATTTTTTTTTAAAAACGGGGGTAGAGTGTTTATGGCAGAGTCTTAGTATGCTGGTCTAAAACAGAGGTCAAACTGATACAATCACAAACACCTGTCTTAAAGGAATTCGGTTCAACATTTGGTAAATATACACTATATGCCTTCAAGTTTGAGTTGAAGAAGATTAAGATTGATACCACTCTCATATCATTCTATTAAATATAAAGCTACAGCCAGGACATGGTTAGCTTAGCTTAGCATAACAACTGGAAACACCACATTTAAATTTCACCAATTACCAAGCTATATTTTCTTTGATAATCCATAGAAAAGTTGAAGGGTAAAGACTCCTTGTCTCCAGTCTTGTCGCTATAAGGTTACCAGGCAGTCGTCAAAGACTCTAGAAAGTCGTTGTTTTTGTTAGCTGTAGAGGTATTTCAAGTCTTTATGCTAAGCAAAACTAACTGGCTGCTGGCTCTAGCGTACAGACATCAAATAGCACATTTGTGAAAAAGTCTATTCCTTTTATGTTACATTTTCTTATTCTCGGTTCTCCCGTGAATTATACACATACACACTCTCACACTGTAGCACAACAGATCATGTAAGGCATACCAGTTTGCTTGACAAACAGTAGGCAGCGATCATCATGACTTACAAAGACTGGAAAACACATAGAGACATACATCCACATAGAAACACACAGGAGGCTCAGTGAAAGTATAAAAATGGTTGGGTGTCTGTCGATTGTCAGCTCAATGATTCATGACCAACTGTCATCTTAAAGGCGAAAAACGTCATTTTGGTTTATTTGACATACTGCTAATGAACAGCAGCCGCCTGTCAACTGCAGTTAAGTCATTAATATTAAATATAGAACAGTATTATGTAATATGTGATTATGGTTAAATATTTACTGGTCTATTCAACAAAATAAATTCAGATTTTCTGTAATAATTTACCTAATATAGTCCTACATATTAACAAAGAGTACATTACGAGTACATTGTAGAGTGTATCAGCATGTAGATAAAGGCTGAAACCAGCTGAGGTTTTATGAGAGGCATACAGCTCAATCCCACATACAGTACAGTGGTTCTGTTACATGTATATAAGTGTGAGTGGGTGTGTGGTGTATTCATATGCCACTGGGTTTGAGCACATTTGTCTGTCTGCCCATCTCTTGCCAACTACTTGTACAGTATTTTGACTGAAACACACTCACGCTCACATACACATTGGCAGACTCACAAATGATGAATAAAACAAGATAAAAATGGAGAGAAGAAAAATAAAAACAAGGAGTGATTGTATCCAGTGAGTAGAAGAATAATCAGGCTGATTGAATGAACTACAGTATTAGAGTCGGAGAGACAGTGCCCCGCCTGTCCGTGAGGGTACAGTCCACTGCTTTCCTCAGAGGAAGTGCATACTGCAGTGTCAGTCCACCAGCCCTGGTCCATCCAGTAAAGAGCTAAGGGGAGCTTCCACTTCCCTGTAGCCCCCGACGAGTGCTCAGTCAGAGGGGAGAGGTACTGTAGAGGGACAGGGATGACCCACGTCAGAACAGTCCCCATCCCAGAGGTCTATGGATCACCACACACGGCAGGTGTTGTCAGGGACCATGTAGCTGCTCTTGTTGCAGCTGAATGCTTTGGCAAATTCTGGGAAATTCTGAAGGGAGCCCAGTACCCTGTAATTACATACAGAGGAGATTGTTGGTTGCTTGAGTTCAGAAAGTTGCTGCTTTAGGAGGTTACTTGAAATTGAAATGTACATAGCATGGCCACCTGGCAGATTGATGTGAATTTACCTGAATTTCCCTGGACTGTGTACGTCTACTTTGATGGAATTAACAGCTTGCTCTGGTCGGTGTGTTCCACACCACACCTGAAAAAGACAGCAATAAGGACATACTGCATTAGACCAATCAACCTGTCACCAAATCCTTCAATCAGTCTTTCATTAAAATCCATCTGTCAATATATCATCCACCCATCTATATATCCACCAAATTATCAACCAGTTTATCATTTATGTATCTATCCATTATCTATGAATAACTGTAATCCATCAGCCAATCAATCTAACCATCCATCCATTCATCCATCAACTACCTGAGCAAAGTTAAGGAAGAAGAGTTGATTGTGGGAAAGGTCAATGCCAGGCAGTAGGGGCTCCTCTCCATGTTCCTTCACGTAGTTCTTATAGGCCTGAAGTATTAATAGAAAACAAATGTTCTCATCTTATATGACAACTGTTGAGTGAAAAAATATGAAAATTGCTCAAAATGTCCTAATTGTTACTGATTATAAAAACCTAGCCAAAAAACATAATAAAAATCCATATTATATGCCTGCTAATTTAATGTGGATGTTCCTATTAGTAAATCTATTTTGTGTGCCTCATGATACCATTTCTGGCTCATTACTATTCAATTTTGAGCATTTGGCATTAGCATTTAAATTATAACACTTTGTGTTTAAGGCAGAAAAAAATAAATTTCATCACATTTCCTGTAAAATTGTAATTATAGAATACAGGTATTGCACAAGATCTAGTTATTCATATATAACAACAAAGCGTTCGCCTTGAAAAAAAGCAACAAAACTGACAATGTTAATGCAAATAAATATAAGCAGATACTGTGCGGTTGATCTAAAATAAGAATATTTGTTATTTTGTATAGCATTAAAATCTGTAAATGCCCTTTCTCTGTTCACCTCTGGTCAAAACTGAAAAAATCCGCAGCAACACCATGTCCTTCATTGTTGTGTTTATAATAGCTAATGAGCCAGTCAGTGACCTGGCAAAATGACACATCTATTAATGTTAGCGAGCAGACGACAATAACAAACCACAGACTGAATGCCATCTTCTGTCATCTTTAAACCAGGGCTCCTAAGCCGAGTTTCCTTTTTTGTTTTCAGGCTCATTACCTGATATGCCTGCCGTATCCCTCCATTGTCAGCAATGTTTTCCCCGAGGGTGTTGTTACCATTTAACTAGAGAGGGGACATAAGGAGAGAGAACACAAAGATTGGCAGGGGAAAGGGGGGAAATGGTAATTTTTCCTACATATTTCAGCAAATCACAGATATCACTCTTTGGGATACAAGAAATCATTTTCCCAGGGGATAAAAGAAGCTTGTTCAATGCAATAGGACCGACGAGGGGAGACAAAGAGAGGGAGAGGGATTGATATGTCAACACAAAATATTAAAGACACCTGAAGCAGAGAAGAGATGAGCCTGCAAAACTGGAAAAAAAAAGATGGAAAAAGGTAGGCTGGCAAAGGTAACAGGAAGGCAAATAAATGAGACAAAAAGCTAGATTTGGGGTAATATTGGAGAAAATGTTGTAAATTCTAAAAAAAGCTTGAAAGAGTGGAGGTTTTACCATCTGATCGGAGTTTAAAGGCAAAGCTTCTATTTACATTATAAATATTTAACTGAATTAATATATTTAATTTAATTTTTTAATTGTCTGATAACCTTTTATTACATCATGTCAGTTTCTTCTAATTACTAGTTTTGTCCGTCCAACAGTCTACAACCACAAAACACTGAATTTAAGATGATATATAAGCAACAAATTCTCACATTTTCTGAAGCAGCAAACAGATGTCGAAATACTTTAACTGTTTTTCGTCACCTGTTGCACAGGATTTTAAGTCTTACGGTTCCCCCACCCACCTGCCAAATCCCACCTTAACCCCTGATTAGTTCTACCAGGACATACATGAAGTCCATTGGCCAGGTCCCAGGAGAAGTTGCCATACTGATTGACAATGCATTTTGACAGCTCCAGGAACCTCTGAGTGGAGTCTGGTGTCCACCAGTCCTTCAGGTCACCGTCCTTATCATAGTTACGACCTAAAACAAGAAGCCAAATGCATGAAAGGTTGGCTGGTTGAATTTAACCAACAACAGGAAAAAGGATTGTGATGCTTTTCAATGCCCAAACAGCCATTATCGTGTTATCTGAGACCACTGAAACGCACCAAGTGATGTCAATTACAAGTTACCATACATTTAATTCATTTATATTGTGTTTCTGGGTGGCTCACAGTTGTGGTTATCAGTACAAAAGAATCCTGACATCTTTGAGATTGAACATAATAACTTGACATAACCCAATAGAAATGACTGCGGTGAAAAACATCTGAGGTGGCACACAGAAATGGCTTTCCAACACTTTCTGAAGTGGTACTAGTTACAGCAAGGGAAATATTTCTATCCAAATACCATAATCTGCCAAAAATGCCTCTGGGAGGAACAAAGAGCAACAGTGCAGAAAATCATACCATTGTCATCAAAGCCATGTGTGATCTCGTGACCGATTACCATGCCGATGCCACCATAGTTGAGAGATTTAGCCTGGCCTTTGCTGAAGAAAGGCGGCTGGAGGATGCCTGCAGGGAACACTGCCACAAGGGAAAAACAAAAAGACTTAAATAAAATGTAGTGTAGTGTAGTGTGTCATGAGATGTATCTGAATGGGTTTGCATGTGCATATGTGAAAATACCTATTTGGTTTTTGCTGGATGAGTAGAAGGCGTTGACAACAGCAGCTCCAGTTACCCACCTGGATAAAACAAGGAGGGTGGAATTAAATAATGGTACAGTAAATGACACTATAGTGCAGTACAACTCATGTTAAATGAAAGATATTAAAATTAACCTGTGGTTAATAACAACAGGCTAGTACTAGCATTTCTGCTGTGTTTAGTGAAAGGGTGAACTGTATCTGTGAGTAGGAGTTTGTGTGGGAGAATGTGAATGCACTGTGCTAAATGCAAGATAGTGTGTCACACCAAAGCCCCATAAGCGAATAAGTCATTTATTATTAGTGATTATACTTAAAATTGTAATTTTAAATTACTACATATCTGGAATAAGCCTGTTTGCCGAGTATTGATTGAATTCGACCCCCACAGGGAATCTTACTCCTCTTTGTTGACTTTGACTCTGAGTTTCCGCAGGCGTTTCTTCTGCACATACTCCAGGTTCTGTAAGATGTTTTCAAAGTACTCCTCTGCACTGTAGCCCAGCTAACACCGACACACAGCCAGAAAAACAAGAGGATTAGCCGTGATGAAAGCTATCAGCACTTGGTCATATATTCTCCAGCAAAACTCATAAAAGCCAAGAATTTACAGAGACTGATATGCGGCTTCAATGAACCCACCCTGTATTCTTTTACGCTAATTCAGTGAAAGAAGGAAAACATTCATTATTGCATCTTTTTAGACACTCACATCTTTGTACTCATTGTTAAGGTATTCATCATCCATAATGTTGTCAGAATAGCCGATCCGTTCCCGGATAGCTCGGGCCTACGGAAAAGTAGAAGAGAAAATTTGACAAACAAGTATTGTAGTCATCACATATCCTAAAGGACAAAATATAATACAACACAACACAATAGACAGGTTATTATAACCAATACCTTCTCCTCAGCTGCTTTCTTCGTCTCTGCATCCATCCAGGTCAGGTCATCAAGGTTACTAATAAACACTTGCCGAATGTCTTTAATCATCTCTTGCATCTGATGCCCCCCGAACACACACACACACACACACACACAATGAGAGAAAGAGACAACAGTCACAAATGTGTTACTGATATATGACAATCACATCTATATATTGAAAAGCCCTCAACACTATCGGTCAGTACAAACTGTCCATAGTGTGGGAGTTTTCTCACAAGGCCTGCAGAGAGGATCAAGTAGGAAGCACACAATCTTGCAACATATTGTGCAACACAGTCATAAAAACACATCCCTGAATCAGGCCTCATTATTACACAGTCACATATCAATGTAGAAGCACTTGGGGTTACACTCCCTCTGTGTCTGTGTCAGGAGTCTGATGACCTTGAGTAATATTACCAGTTTAATCATGTTTAACTGATCAGTATGACAGATGGAGTAATAACAAAAAGATCATTGACTATTTTAATGTATGAGTAAAAGGAAGTGAGGCCATGGCAGTCAGAATTACAACATGTTTAGTGACTAAAAGTGACAATTAAAATGATGGCATGCAAAAAAGTTATGAGGACATTTCTACTTCTTTATGGAAGTCTCATTTAGTTGTCTCAAAATTCTCTAAAGTGGATGTCTGTACTGGCTGCAAATTTGCAGATGCATTATTGATAATGCTACCAATTTACATTCTGCATCTTAAGACCTTTAAATATTTAAATTTACTTATAGACGCACTCAGTATTTTTGGGTTGATTTTTGTGTTACTGAAATAATGCAGAGACATATAACTCTACATTATATAAGAGTTATTTGAGTTTAATGTTTCCCCATCACTACAGTTTAATGTTTCCCCATCACTACAATAGATTAAACAAAGAAGAATGCTATTCTTATTAAGCAAATAAACATGTAACTAAGCAAATATTTCTGTCAGCTTGTCCTCACATAACACATTGGTACAACTGTAGTGGTGTCAAGATAATGAGATGTTCTATTTTTATATGCAAAATCACACAGCAAGGTGCTTCAAAATCTACATCCAAAAGCTCAATTTTCAATGGGAACCTGTGGTGTAAGTTTAACCTTTCTATAATGTATTGCTCTTGAGTTACAGTATTTACAAGCACGCGCCTACACGCAGAGAGACTGACTGACGCCACCACGATGGCATAATGCTGTGTAAACCATGTATATCACCATGAGCATCAGACAGTAAAAAGACAAATTTTGTCCACAAACAAAATGAAAACAAGATTAGAATAATTCACAAAAAATACCTGAACCAATTAAAATAATGAATGCAAGTAGGAAGAGAAAAATGCAAAAATGGCAGTGACAGCGAAGGTCACCCTCCCATATCCCTCTAACCACAGTTGTGCTCTGAGACCACAGTGAGCTGACAGAGGCATTCCTGTGTCTCATCATATCAGCAGACCCCTCGCTAACACTCTGCATGACCACTCGGACAACACGCTGTGGTTAGCCACAAACCAGCAGGGACCACTACTGATGAGGCTGTTCCGAAAACCTTTTAGCATACAGCATGTGTGTGCGCAAGTAGGTTTGTGTTGTGTGCATGTATAGCTGTCTGTGGTTGCATGCATGCGTGTCTGTTTGCATTTGAAATAATTTACATGGGTCAAATGCAGGCTTTATATACAATGGTATGTCTACTAAATCTATATGTATCATGATAGTTGCATTAGAAATGTAATGGTTTGCCATTATGGGCACTTATCCACTGTGTCATTTGATTTAATTTACCCTGTCTCCAAATAATAAACAAATACAAGTCTTGCATACAAAATCCTTGAGTAAACATGTTATAGTTGGTCATTGGTCTAACTTTAATTATTTTATGTACTGTTGGGTAGTGTAATCTATAAGAAAAGTTGATCATATTTATATGTAAAACCTTTATTAGTAACTAGTAACTTTAGCTGTCATTTAAATGTAATGGACTAAAACATGGTACTGAAACTTAAAATAAAGTAGTGTAAGTATTAAGTAGCAAGTGCACAAGTAGATTATAAGTACCTCTAGACTTTAATCAAATACAGTACTGGTGTAAATGTAATCAGTTGCAAGCCACTGATGACCATATCTGAAATACATCTCTGTGGCTAAGAGTAGGTTGGTATGTTAGGAGTGCAGTATGTGTGCCAGCTGCAGGTTAACTCAGCACTGTTGATATATTGATATATCATGCAGAAAAACATGCACGCAGACACATTTGCCCACACACACATCCACATGCTAAAATGGGCAAAAATCCAGAAGATGACAGAGATTTACAACGTGTGAGACACTCAGCATTACGACAGATGTACACTGTCACACACACAATCTGACTCACATACACACATTACAGTGTGGGTGTTGTAGGCATGATAACAAGGACACCTTGTTCAGCTGCTTTCAATGGGTGCATGCAAAAAAATACAGTACTGTGGTGGAAACACGCAAAGGTGACAAAAACATAGGTGAGAAACAAAAATACACTTGCCTAAAAAACCTCATGTTGTCATACTGTATGTATGTATAACTGAATATATAAACACTGTTTTTGTGAAAACACATGTCATGCAGATTCATTTGTGTGATTCAGTACCAGGTCCAAGTGTCAATAAACAAGCAAACATAGAATTCAATAATGTATTACACAGAATGTACTATGTTTAATAATGAATTCCTCTCAATTATATTTATAATTGTTTTTTTCACTGCATTAAAACAAATGTAATCTAATAATAGAAACTACTGACCAGTTCTTTGCTCTTTTCAGAGAAGGCCTCCTGCACATACAGTCGTCCTACAGCATTGTCCAAGTTGTTGTTGACGTAAAGCGCACACTGTCGCCACACAGCTGCCTCTGATGTTGTACCAGACAGAGCCTGCAGGGAAAGTAATGGGGCACCGATCAATTAGAGATGCAGAATAAACCACTCAGCACATTGGGTAAAGAGGCTCAGGGCAATTATTTATTTGCGCCTCTATTATGCATTATCATTACACTAAGGACTATGAGAAATAGGGCAGAGGGGAAATGATTAGATTAAGAAGTGGGTTAGGATTAGAAAGAATATGAATGCAGTGTGAACATCTAGTGTTTATTAGAGCCCAGTGGATACCTTGTTTCAGTATATTGGCCAATAATGTAAGTAGCAAGAAACTTCAAATCATTTAGAAACAGTCTTACAAAGTTTTTTCATCAAGGCACCAACAAGTTTATTTTATCCATGCTAGCAGCATGGCTCTAGGGATGGCAACAACATTCCACCTCTTTGGTCCAGATTAAAATATCTTGACTATTTGATGGATTGCCATGGGATTTTGTGCAGACATTCCTGGTCCCCAGAAGATGAATCCAACTGATATTGGTGATACCTTGAGTTTTCATCTAGCATCACAACAAGGTTAACATTTTTGTTTTACTGTCTTCTATAACTGAAAAATGTCTTGCTTGGTGTTTATGTTAAAAACCATATATTATCCCATACATCTTTCTCTGTAACATTTTGATTGGTATCCACCTTAAAAAATTCAGGATTAATTGGCACCTTATCTACAGACAGATTCAGTGTGAGGGTCCTGGTACCTTGCGGAAGGCTTTCCTGGTGTCCCTGTAAGCTCTGCTCAGGCCCACTACCATGTTCATAGCAAAACGCCACACCATGTAGTTCTGCAGATCCCTGTGAGGAGAGGAAGAATGTTAAAAACAAACTCTTACACGCAAAGCTATGATATATCAGTAACGCGCTGTTTTGCATGCAGTGCACTCCTGCCTCCACAAACTCACAAACATGCAACTATACACAAACACAACTACAGACTCATACAAACAGACCTCTTGGTGTATCTGGCCAAGATAAGGTTGAGTCTTCTGTAATAGTTGGGGGAGTAGTTTATGACCTTCTCTGTGTCAGGAACACCGATGTTGACTGTGTCCATTATCTTAGCTGTGAAGTAACTCCAGTCAAATACCTTCAGGAAGAGAAAAGGAACATGAGAAAGAGGAAGGACGGTGAAAAAGAAACAACAAATTCTGACAGATGAGGAGTCTATTTTTACCTGTGATTCCACCTCAAGGGTGAAGTTCGCGTTCAGATCACCAAGTTCCATCTTGTTGTAAAGCAATACTGGGTTGTTACGGTCCTCTGGAGTATCAGTAGCCTTGGAGAATACAAGACAGAGAAGTTGAAAATCAAGAATGCTGTCACAACATAGCTCTCCAGAATCCTGACACATGCATAAAATTGCAGTGCAGGTCCAGCAACAACAAACATATTTGGAGTCCCAGGAGGCTTCAGGTCTGTAAATGTCGAACGGTGACTGCCTTGTAAAAGCCAGCAGCCGAGTGGAGGGGAAGTGAAGCATGGCAGTGAGCAGAGTGGACCAGCACAGAATGACAAGCGTGGATTGTGGAAACCTGTTGATGTCTGAGAAAAGTTGTTGTGTTCAGATCAGGCTGGTTAACGGCTTGTTTTACACAGCAGCTGCTCCCAACTGGAGCCACAAGCACACAGAGAGGAGAGAGGTCTGGGCTACAAACGGAGGAGTGGAAGGTCATACTGTCAGAAGTCGTTTGCTCACAAAATCCTCCTGTTGTGTGAAGCTGTGACAGGAGATAAGGTATGCATGGCTGCTAAGAAAACATAGTTGTATTCCTTCAGTTTCTCAAAAAATGAAGGAGCGCTCCTTTAGGGAACTATTTAGGCTTCTGCTGGGATAATGAAAAGCGTGAATGCATGCTTACGTTGGCAATGTCCCTCTCCAGGTCCATAACTCGTGTCACCTCCTCTCTGATGCGCGTTTCATTGATGGGCAGTTTTCGGTCAATGCGGATTAGCTTAGCCAGGTCAATCATGAACTGCTCGTAGGCCCGACATGCCTGTAAAACAAACACTCATTCATGACATTCATATCTTGACCTTACTTTAACAGGAAGGAAAGGAGGTGACTGGTTTGAATTTAACCAATGACCAAAAACCAGAGGCGACAGTGTGTACTTATGCACAGAGACACACAAACACACACACACACACACACACACACACTCAGCCTGCCTCAAGCTAAGTGTGGTTGAGTGCTGTTTCTGCATATCAATCAAGAGCCCATGGTAAACTGTAAAGTAAAACCAGAGCAGAGGATGTCTGCTCTAGTCATACACATCTGGTCTGAATTGAGACACAACCAAATCTGTTCTGTTTTGCCTCTTTGATTTTAATCATCACATACTGCCTCATAGTGCAGTTTTATTTATCGTGTACACACATGCTTGCAAACGCATATAACCGTGCAAACAAAGTTAATTAAGGTACTGATGTTTCAACTGATGCCCTCATCATTTGTTGGGCATCATGTTTCCTGGAACAAACTCCAGGGGACATGAAACCCAGACTCAGTGGCACTGGCCCAAATGAACACATGGAGCTGTTTTCATTGCATCGGTTGAAAGCCGTAATTATATTACAAGTGTGCGTGCATCTGCATGTGTGTACATGTGCAATTATAAGTCTACTGTACCTCTGCATAAGGTCCGGTGCAAGCGTAGTAATCTCTGGACAAGAGGCCAAGGCTTGTCTGCTGGTCAAACTGGCAAAGAGGAGAAGAAGAATTTATTTATATAAGCCAAAGAAATCAGATTTGAAGAAATTCGTGGGTGGTTATTTTCAAGCTGGATGGATATCCTGTGGGAGTGTCTGTATGAATGTGGGTCTATGAAACAGAGGACATACAAGGGTTTTCTAGCTACAGTTGCACACCTACATGAATGATGTGTGAATTGGAGTCCCTGTCATCGGTGCCGACAAAAAAGTTAACCAAAAGTTGAGTTCCATATTTCTCATTCAGCTTGGCAATGACGTCCTCCAACCTCCACACTTTGCCTGACGAACGGAGAAGGAGGATAAGGTAAGAAAGAAACAACTGCCTGTACATGGAATCTGCTGTGTGTGACAGAGGAAAAGAATAGTTTACCATAGTTGGTCTCCCAGTTGTCCACAGCTATGGGCCACTCAAACACATCAGGCAGCATGTCTAGCAAAGGAGCCCCTCCTCTAAGCTCAATTAAACCTTAAATGAAGCAGAAATACAAACAAGCAACAACATCCTTTAATAGTGGATACATTTATTCTATACCAATCAAAATTCAAAAAATTCATTTAAAAAAAAAAAGAAAAGAAACCTTGTTATTATTTATATATTGTCCTTCTTATCAAGCATAATTAATCTATGCAAATTTGGAATGCATTTGAGAAGTTTATTGATGTGAGTTCTAAGCCAAAATGCTTTTGAAGAAAGCATTTATTTGCATCGCATAATGCTGTAAATCTGAAAGACAGTAATTTTTCCTTTTAAAACTAATTATTGGAAATAAATAAGTACGTAAGTTGTTAAAAAAAATGTATGATAGCTTGGCAATGCAATCAACTGAATGAGGGACACATAACCTTTGATGACAGTAAGACAAATTTTGACTTTAGGACAACAGAAGATACAAAAAGGAATAGTCTGTGTTGACATCTGATGCCTGGTGACGCACTCTCATTGGTACAGGACTTGTAAAGGGTCTTAGCCTTGGTGAGAGCAGCGGCTTCCCCCTCCACTGTTTTTTCAAGGACACCTACAAACAGAGCAGAGAAACAGAGCAAGCATGAAGGACAGAAACACAGACTTAAAAGAATGAGTGTACAAAGAAAAGGCAGAAGGAGGAGTGTAAATAACCTCAGGTACAATTCAGAGGTTTTTTTTCATCTTTGTGGATTCAAAATAGAATCCAGCTGTCGTCCAGATGCATTTAATCATGTTAATTAAGGCATGTTGTCTGTCCCTGTGTCAGGAGGCGCCAACAAAAATAAAGTGATGACTTCAAAACATGGCAATACATAGCAACCAGTGACAAAAGACAGAGTATGACATTATTCATAGGGAGACAAAGAAAACATGGTATGAATGCATTTAAAGGGAAATGCACAAACAAATGTCAATTTAATACTATATTTTTACAACATGTACAGTAGCTAACTAATTAAGAATTTCAGATTACATCTTTTGTTAGTATGACAAAAGTGCCCAATATGCAAATGAAATAATTTATTCAGAGAACAAATAAAGCTTTAATGTTGATTTTCTGCTATAGACTTTTCTTTATTCTAACAATTCTTCAACATCATATTCAAGTCCACTTGCCAATGCATAACAATAGCTAGTAAACCAATACATGATCACAAAATGTTCCCTTGTTGTGCATGGCCAATCTTTGCTTTAAATGACTGAATAAATAATTAAACACAAACTATTTATTAGTTGCAGTGCAATTAATCATTTCATTTTGGTGATTGCAGTTATTTGGGTCATTTGTTGTAGAGGTCAACCCTGTCATATAAACCACAAATTGAAGTGGCAATATGCAATGCATATTTTAATTCCTGGTTGTTGTAAATTATATTCTCAGCATGGCAACGGTAATCAAGGTAAAGCTAGTGACCTTAGAGCAGAGAAGTCACAGTGCAAAAAAGGTGGAAATAAATTGAGGAGCAGCAAAGCTGAAGGTGTGGCAGGAAAGGGCCATTTGAAAACAAGAGTGAACAGCATTGCTTGCTTTATTGCCTGTGTTCATTGCCTCTTCAACACCTGTTGTGGGCATATGGACGCCAGTTAGCTCACCCTGAGGCTAGATAGCATTTCTAGGTAGACAGCTAATCAAAATGAGTGATAAGTGTCGGGGCATAAACTTGCTCAACTGAGTCGGAAGAGAATGGGACCAACAATACACTTTCCCTGCGCTGCCTCAAGGCACAAAGTGGCATATTGTAGATTTAAAGTGTAACCATTCCCTCCAGATTCTCTGTCGCTTTTCAGCAACATTGAACATGAGAATGAGCTTAAATAAATGTTCAGATCATCAGGGTTTCTACCTAACACCCACATGGATATTTTGGTGTTTTTCTGAAAACCACCATGGTGAATGCAAGTGTTTTGTTGTGATAGTGTTAGAAACTCTGTGCCCTCTGTCCTACTCAAACGAAAGAAAGAAAACCTCACACCTACTCAACAGTCATCTCAAACTTTAGCTCAATTTCATTTGATGATTTGTCATTCAGTGCCAAGCATGTAAAAACTGTATCTGCACAATTGCACTCTATAGCTACAAAGACCTCATGTATGTATGAGTTAGTATGTCGGGGCTCCTGGGTGGCACAGTTCTTTTTAAAGAAATCTTTAGAAAGGACTTGTCCCGTCAAAGATTGGGAGCTCAAATCCTCACTGAATCACTTCAGCAAGTTAGTTCTTGATTTACAGCACACAGTCTGTAGTTTCTGTCTGGAGAGATTTGGAAAGGTTTTGATCTGATCCCCTGAAATCCACACCTGGTCATGGCTCAGTAGCACAGCACTACCTTCTTAAAGTAAACTGAAAAACAAACAAAAAAAGGCCATAATTATTATTTAAGAGACACTATTTTTTCTTTGGGACAGACAGTTTGCTCTTGGCCCCTGGAGAATTAGTTTCTGGTTTTGTGTTCAACATATTTTTCCTTTTAGAAATGTCACAATGTCTGTGGTTTGTTTTGTAAAGTGCTTAGGATCTACACTGTATCTTTTTGGTGTATAAGGACTATATGATGAATAATGAATGATGTAAATCTCTTTAGAGCACATGTGATAAACCTCAAGTACATGCAAAATGTATGTAAATGGTTGACTTCCTGATTGCTTTTGCTATTGTTTATGGTAATTTAGAAGAAAGGAATAAACGGGGTGTTGAAATTGCATGAAGGCAGTCAGAAGCATTTATGAATTTCACAAGTAAATATGTTTGTCATTTGAAATCCATGTACATTTCCATTTATATCACACATTATTGCATTTGTATGCAAGAAGTGCCGCTGATTCATTCTAAGTACTCCATTCCTCAGGTTTTTGAAGTTTGAAACTGTTATAATTCATCAGCTAGCTTAGCATTTCAGAATGTTTCTCTTTTGTACAATCGCAAAGCTGCCACTTGCTGATATCCACCTTTTCTAGCCAAGCTGCGCAAACAGTGTGTGCTTCAGTACAATGTCAGCCACAATGACTGTATCAATTGCTCAAGCTCCTTTGTTCTTTAAAGAATACAAAAACTTGGATTAAGTTAAGTTTGCACATGGTTTTTAGTTTGCCAGTAAAAAACCATGAAGCAAGCATGTCTCACCCAACCTGCCTGAAACTAATCCTGCTTCTTTGGCAACATGATGAGCCATAATAAATTATACCATTTAAAATTATGTTCTGTAAAACAAAGGGATTTGTATTCAGATAAGAGAAGAACACCAGTTCACATTATTGAAACTACATTAAATGAATATAAATTAACTAAGAATGTGATTTAAGCTTAGTTCAACATTTTAGAAAATAGACTCATTGACTTTCTTTCCGAGAGTGTGATGAATAGATTGATACCACTCTCATATCTCTACGTTCAATCCAGCAGCCAATTAGCTTTGCTTAGCACAAAGACTGGACCAAGGATAACACCTACCAGCACCTCTAAAGTTCACTTTTTAACACATTCTGTCACATTTGTTTAATCTGTACAAAAAACAAGCGTTAAATCAACAATTCACTGTTTTACAGTTATTTGCTGGACTATTTCTTGCCAAGCAACCAAAGGAGACTCCAGGAAGTTACTGCCAAGAAATTATCCAGCACATAAACCCAATAAAATGGCAAATTGTCTTTTTGACACACGTTTTCTTTACAGTTATGTTTTTGTTCAGATTAAGATAATAAGAAACAATGTGGTAATTAGAGAGCTAGCTAACTCTTGGCAAAAAAGTGAATAAGCTAAAATTGTGAAATAAAAATATCATTACTAAATTAAAAGGAAACCCTCTAAACGTGGCTTCAGTATTCCCTGCAACTTAGTTATATTTTATAAATGTTGCATCTGGATGAACAAATATGCACAAACAAACTGCACATCTCAATGCAACTCCAGGATCAATACAGGAAAGAGGATGGATCTTAAATTACGCAGTCATCTGACAGGAAATTCTCCCCTGAGTCCAGCAAGACATCACTCATGTCACTGTGAGTTGGTTGGGATCAAAAGATAAAGATGAAGAAAAATTAGATTTTTCTTTCTTCCTTCTTTTTAATTTTCAGGACTTACTGGCAGACCAATCACAACAGAGTAAGATAAAGCAGTTAGCATATGAAGACAAGGTCTATCCCCTTTTTTAATCTCTAATTTCATATAATGTCACATCAGATCATCTTAAAAAAACACCTGTTCTGTTATTGCATAATTTAAAGAAGATCAATTCGGGTGTCATTCAACCAAAATATAGAATTTAATTCAAAATAATTTTCATTTGAGTCATTTCTTTCCCTAATTTCTACTTGTTTCACTCGTTGCATGACTGCGTTTCATTTCAGCCTATTTCTACCCTTTCATTTTTCTAATCCTGCCATTTTCTCATTACCATGTGTGCACTATTTATGTGCTCATTTAATCTTAATGAAGTCCTGAGATAGGGACCCTTCACAGGGCGCTTCCTGCAAAAGGGCACAGATCATGTGTGTGTGATTGGATTACTGACTGCCTGGTGCTAATGTTTAACCACAGCAAAGGCTTACCCTCTCACTCTCTCTCTCACACACATACAGAAACACACACACACTCTCACCCCGTGTGTGCGTGTTTGGATTTATTTGAGAATGGATTTTGTGCCACCTGATGTTTGTTTGAGACATCACGTCAATTTGAACCAAACCTCTCAGCGTGATACAGAATCTGAATTTTGAGTTTCTCCTTTCTGAATTGCCATTTTATCCTTGACTGCCTCTCATTCCAGAAGGCATTTCACTTGCAGTGTTTTCAGTAAGAGTTTTGCTTCCAATTTATCATTATGAAGCATTTCTTTAGGGTATATTACACACAGAAGATGTAAAACAAGTTGAAACAAAAAGAGTTGACACATCATAAGAGTGACGAGTCTCAATTAGAAACAAAATGTTTACTGTTCTGGGTGTAATAAAAACCTAAAAGACTCCCTGGTACTACGCTCTCTGGTTTAAGCAGTGGTAATAAAGACATTTGACAAAAGGGCAGGGGTCTCTAACTCAAATATGGTACTGCCATCTCATAGGAGGGTCACTTCAATGTTCAAGTACAACAGAAAATGCAATATTCTAAAAATATTTAATAAAATAAAATGTATAATAGGTCCAATGAGTAAGATTTATTGGCATTTAGCAGTGTAGTTGCAGATTGAAACTACCTTGCTTCACCCTCTCATGCCAAGCATAAAGGAGAAACTATGGTGGCCGCGAAATGCCCAAAGAAAACAAACTGCCCTATCTACAGCCAGTCTTTGGAGCTACTGTAGAAACAAGGTGGTTTAACATGGCAGTATCTACGGAAGGCAGCAATTTGAGATCCATGATTTAGGGCGTCCACAGCAAATGTCATGTTTATTTTCCGCATACACAGTGCTAGGATCTAATGCTGACTAAAGCACCAGAAGCTACAGTTTACTATTTTCGCTTCACTTTAAGATTCTGGGTCAATTTTAGACGGATATCGCAACAATGGCATTGAGTTTTGTTCCCAATGGCAATGAAAAATCAGTCTGAATTTGCTACAGCTTTCATCCACACACCTGACTGGCTTCGGCTCAATTGCAATGGCCCATGGGTATTTTAGAGCCATTTGCCATACCAAATGGCCAAATTTCCATACCATGGTCGTAACATAACCCTGTCGTCGATGACTCCTGGGTTTCTCGGCTCAGGAAAATTGAGAATAATATTAAAAGAAGAAGATGACAGGTCATCTCAACTATGGTGTCAGCTAAAATCACAGCTGTTTTTTCTTGAAACATGAAACTCAACAGTGTCCTTTAATGTAGCATACGGTATATACATATACACTTTTCACTATCCCAGCCTTCAAGCCAAACTTTATCCATATAGCAATCCCGTAATTTACTCAGCACCATGTTGTCAGTCCCTTGGCTAGTCTTACTGTAGATAAAAGTGCTGTCAATAACCCAGTACTGTGTTGGCTTTGAGACAGCTAACGGAAGATTATTACCTTAGTGGAGGTCTAAACGCTTTCCTGTTATTCATCAGCATCTTAGCTGGGAAAAACATGTTCAATTCAGGAGTTTTATTAAATATATTTTTCTTGGCCAAGAATTACTGCATTAATATTCCTATTATTTTACTTGGCCACAAACCTCTGGTCTGCTATCTTTATTTGATATGTTTATGAGAAATACAGTATTTATGATGTTGTGCAATGGTTTTGACTGGAATTTTGATATCAGGGAGGTCATATGAACAAATCATTTATTTCTAAAGTCTCATTGTAAGCCAGTATTGTTTGCTGACATAAGGTTGGTTTCAATTATTATTACAGGAAAAACACATTCAGTCTCTTAGGTACATATGTTAGCAGCATGCCTGACAAACATCTCACAATCTTTGACACTCTGGCTGATGACAAATTCTACAAAAAACATGAGCTGGTTTGTGTGTTGCATGCCTCTGGGTAGAATTATCTCAATGAGTGCAATGTGCATTGAGCTTTAGACCTGGAGTCATGTGAGAAACACCTCATATAATACAGAAGAGCAGCAGTTTGCTCACACTCATAAAAGTCAGTACCCGTGCACAGATGGATGTACGCAGACAGTTTGGAGATGACGACCACATGCTGTTTCACATTTCCTGACCTACCCTCAAAGCTTTTCTCAATACACCATCATCCTCTGGTTACAGTGCTCTTCCTCACTTAACCCTCCCCCACCTCCGATCATATGTATCTCACCTATCTTTTCCTCTATATCACTTTTTTCTTTCATTTCACCTCAGTATTCTTTTTTTGAATGAAAACCCATTCTTTTAGCCTCCTCTGCCTGTTATACTTTTCCCCTTCCTCTTCCTGACACAAACTAGTTAGTAATTAAAACGCTCATGGTCAATTGGGCAAATTATTGCACAGTATGCCCCACCTGAGTAGAGGGAGATGGAAAAAACACTCACACAACCGTGCACACATGTACACACAAAGCTGTGGTCACAATCAGCATGCAGATCCTCATTATGAATCATTTATGGCCTTTTACAGCAGTAGAGAACAATCCAAGGCATTTACAAGCAACCACAAATTCACACACATACACATGCACGCAGTCTTTTTTTATTGCTGTCATGCAGCCTAGAGCGCTGCAGTGTCCAGGTGTTTCCAGGCCCCTAAAGCTGTTGACAGGAAAAGGATCTGTCCATCAGCGGGCGGTGGTATCCAAGCCGGCAGCAGCAATCAGACCCGGGATCAGAGGTTGCATGTTTGATGTCACCTCTAGAGTAGAGGTCACATCTCTGCTGAGGCTTCACACTGCCGAGGCCTACATCTCGATATGCATAAGTCATTTAGAAAAAATGAAACTCTACCTAGCAGGTTACTACTGTAAATCCTGAAGAAAGCAGATTGCCGACAGGCCTGAGATATAATCTTAAATACACTGCGTTCTCTTTTTATTCCTCTCTAAAACACGCACAGATCTACACACAAAGTAAACCTGAACATGCGTACAGTCTGATACATTCCAGCTCTGACTGGTAAGCCAGCCACCCTGAAGGAATGAGCACAACATTGACGGTTGGAGGGGATTTAAGCTGTTGAGTGATTAGGACACGTTCTTTGGCTGCTCCATTCCTTTCTGTGGCAACTGCAGCATAACAATGAAACAGCAAACAAAATAATGATTCTAAAATATAAACTTTTTGCAGTATTTCATCATCAGTTGCAGACATGTATTTTTGGGGACTTTTTTTCCTCCCTCTCTCTCTCCCTCTGTTTTCTGACAGGCAACAAATATCACCATAAGACCTCTGACAAATCTGCTCAATCGCAGTAAAAATACAACAAAGTGTGAAATGACGCCACACGCTCAAACAGAGACATGCTATGTACGTAAGTGCACATACAGTAACAAAATGCCTAAAATGAGCCCTTGTCAGGCAATGTTTATTTTCCTTTTTCCCCCCTGTGTGTGATTTTTATGGGTGTTAAGACTGCCATGGGGAAGAGAGGAGAAGACAGCAGAGCAGAACAGAACAGATGGGCTATACGTTGTTATAAAGCAATGTACAATGCAACTAAAAGTTAATATTTTCTGACAGTTTCTACAGCTGCCTACATGCATTTTCCTACAATCCTATACCAATATCCTGTTTGTTAGAAATCTAATTTGAAATCTCTGCAGTACTCATCTCATGGTCAAGCAAATCATTCTGACGGACTAAGAGCCAGAATTTCAATAACACTGTTATAATTACACTACACAGAGTGAATAAAGATGTACTTTTACCACTACAAGCTCCCTGGAATGAAAAGGTATAGAAATGAATGCTGACTACATTACAGCCAACCTCTAAACCCTAATGAATATTATATTGATCCGTAAAAAGTCGTTTATCGAAAGGTAAAAGGACAGTGAGGACAGTGAGAGTGGTTAGTACACAAAAAGATAAAGGTTTCAAAAAAAGTTACCATTTAGTTGGTGGTCCCATATCCTGTTGTGAGCAATTATTGTGAAAAAGTAAATATCATGAATATTTCATTTTGGGTTGAATAAACAAATCTATCCATTACCACCCACGTTCAGGTTTATCTTAATGAAAAATAATCAGCATGTCATCCATGGACAACACAAGGGCAGATAGCAAAGGATAAAAAAATCAAAAACAAAAAAAAAGTTCCCAAACACACGAGACTGCGTGTTTTTCCATCTAGATCGGACAGATAAAGTGCTTGAGGCTGGTGCAAATTATCCGGGTCCACAAGACAGGCTGCACTTTAAACCCTGGTTTTCCTTTCCCACTAAGGATCAATCTTTCTTGCCCCTCTGAATCACTCTGTTTCTCCTGCAGCCAATCTGCACTGTCTTTATTATAGTAGAAGGGACTGGCAAATAAATTGTAAATTTATGGTAGATGAAGAGTTTCGGTTGTCCGTGCAAAGTTTGTGCCCCTTGAAGATTTAGCACTCAGGATCCGACTGGCCTTCTCACAGACAACTTGAGGTGAAGTATGGACCCTCACACACACGCACACACAATCCATAAGTGCTCACACATACACAGCGTAACTTTTCCCTCTCTATATCAACCATGCCACAAGGACACTAACAAGACTCTAATGCTTGCTAAAAGCTGGCAAAACACCTGAGATGCACAAACTATTAAAAATGTTCTTGCTACTGTGTGGTGACGTCTTCAGAAAATAGCCTGAAAGCAATGTCCACACATGCACACACGCACACACACATTGATAACGCCAGCTCTGTTGACAAACTCTCAGCTCACATGGTAGTACTGAAGCCAAACTCCCATGGCATCTGTGATATCTATAGAGCTGCAGTCCCTGAAGCACAGTCCTCATATTCTCGAGCAACTGAATCAAGCTGTTCTCTCTCTTACAGAGCAAGTGGACTGAAAAAGACATACTGTTCTAGGTTGCTTTACAACTCTTAATCATGGGCTAAATACAGTGTTATTACTCTAATGAAAACAGGCAACACAGGTCTCCACGTCTTTCACAATTTAGTCCCTCTGCCTGTCTGTGTTGTGGTCTTTCTGTATGTGGATCTTTGTTTGTGTGCATTGGTGTGTGTGTGTGTGTAGGTGTCTGACCTTTGAGAATGACCTCCAGTTCGTCTCGTAAGATGTCAAAGGTGCTGTATCTAGAGCTGGTCTCAGGGATGATGTTCTTTTTCAGCCAGCCTCCACAGGCGTACTGGTAGAAGTTGTCACAAGGGTCCACACTAGCATCCATGTTCTCAATGAGACGAGACGCTGCTCGGACAGAGAAGAAACAAAGCTCTGAGACCTGGAGGAAAATTTTACCTGAAGAAACTGTAATACACTGCAGGATGTAGGGAGTATGATATGAAATCAACCTGAATTGCGCTCTAACTAATTACACAGATATCTGTACAACGTGTTCAACAAGTAAAGAAGGTCAGAGATGCCTACCATTTCACCATAGCTTTACATTTTGGGAAATGTGCTTATTTGCTTCCTTCCTAAGACATAAATAAGAATATCAATACCACTCAGATATGCATCTTTTCAGTATAAGGCTACAGCCAACACCCAGTTGGCCTAGCTTAGCATAAACACTGGAAACAGCTTACAGGCTTTAGACAAAGGTAACAAAATCCACCTACCAGCTTCTCTAAAGCCCAGTTTTTGTATTCCAAACATCATAGGTTATTTAATCTGTACAAAAACTGAAATGTAAAACTGACACGGGATATTACTGGAGGTTATGTGCTGGACTATTTCTTGACCAGTGTTGTAATCGCTTTGAGGTCACTAGGCAATCAGCAAAGACTCCAGGAAGTCACTGCACCAGCAGTCACTGGCCAAGAAATAGTCCGTCACATAACCCGCGTAACACGACAGTGTGTCTATTTCATACTTCCACTAATACGCATTACACAAACTAGATGTGTTACATTAAAAGACCAGTGTGTAGGATTTGGTGGCATCTAGTGGTGAAGTTTCAGATTGCAACTAACTAAACACCAGTATTTTTCAACCTGGGAATGGTAACAGGCTGTGCACTGTGTAGGAGAAACCACCAAAATTGGTGAGCTTGAGAGGTTTTGTTACTTTCAGTAAGGGCCAGACTAGCTGTGATCATGGACAGATACGGGTGTGAATAGATCATTATCATTTAACTATTTGCAAGCGCAGTCTTTTATGGACCAGCTTGGATGCTTGCCAAAATATTTCATGCTTGTTTAGTAGCGGGGGTGGAAATATACTGTACCCCAAAAACACATTTTTAAAATGCAATTAAATATTCATTAAAATATCATTCAAAGACCTGTGAATAAAAAAAGTATAAAAGCATAATGGCAGTAATTGGGTTCTGTTCAGCACCAGTGCTGGAAATGTGCTCAGTTTTTTTGAGCTGCAATTAAATTACATGAGGCAGCTGAAAGATCTCTTGTGACAAGGCTGTCTGTCAAATCTGACTGAATTGGGACATTGGTTCCCCAAAAATGCATCGGAAATGAATTGGCGTCTGTTGCTGGAAACTAGAGGTAGAGTTATAAATCTTTAATCTACTATGTCCGTGTTTTTCATGAAAAATAAACTGTTCTCCTATGAACAGTTTTTACTGAAGTAAAGTGAGAAAATAAAGTGATAATGAATAATGTTATATTTAAGAGGCTGTGGGAATGGGGGATGTTTATAGATAAAAATAGAAAGTGAAAAGGCTGGAATTATAGCAATAGACTTTAAAATGATCCAAAAATGCCTTTGTGTGATACAAAAAGGTCTCAGATCATTACTGCAGTGTCATGTGGTCTGGAGCACTTACAGTGAAATACAAAAAAAACTCAACAACAAAACTCGGATATGTTGAAATACTTCGGCTTTGGACACATACTAGACCCAAATGGATTTGCTTAAGCTGTATATGCATGCTTATACCCCTTGCCAGTTTTTCAAAATCTCTTGTACAGTTGTTCGGAGGTGATCCGAGAACAATAACCCTTTGCAACATGTTTCTGCTGATCAGGACTGTTTCTGTTTGTCTGATCACGGTTTGGACTTAGAGGCAACATATTCACAGTTGAAGAAGCCATTTTCTCTAAGTATGTCTGAAATCCCTGGGCTTCTGCAGCAGTCTAAATTTTTCTTTTCTGTCCGCCTCTATGAAAAATCAAAGCCTTTAGAATGAGACAAAGATACACAAACACACAGTTCTTACCTGACTGTGTGCAGTCAGCTGTGGTGCAGATTTCATCTACAGGAAAATGCAAAACAAATCATCACTCAGTGGGATTTTTGCAGTCATCAGTCATTATGTCAAATGCTCATTCTCTCCTTCCACTTTCCTTCCTTTTCTTCATTTCTTTTATCTCTATCTCATCCACACATATAACCTTAAACAGCTTAGAAGTGTTGCTTTCACTCTGTCAGGAATAATTTAGGTGCAAACCTGTTAATCAAACTCAGTATGACATATACTGACACAAGCACACACACACAAACCAGTGACTTGTCACATAACCTTAAATACACTGCTTTCTGCAATGTGTAAGAATGCACGTGATATGCACACAGGTGAGAGCACACATAGACATAGTCATTAATTATTACTTCTCGTTTTCCTGACATGGCAGTTTACACATTTATCAATCACAAGACTGCAAAAGATAATAATAGCTCAACACACAGGCATATGTCAACGCAACCAGTTTTGTATGTATCATTAGTTTTAATTACATTGGCTTTTTTGGCAGATTTCTGAATTATTGACCTGCTAAACTTCACAGTTGCTCCAGTCGTCAATAATTAACCTGGATATTAATAAAAAAAGCTGTTTGTTATCCATGTTACTGTCATACTTGGGATTAATACAACTCCTTATCATCTTAAGTAACAAAGACTTTGTGTCAACTTTATGTACCAGTTTAATACATTCATAAGAAAGTATAAAAATTCAAGCAAAGCAATAGTCAGGATATTAATGATTATGATAACCCATGTGACACTCATATTGTGATGTAGATCTGAAGGTTCAATTTGATTGCTTTCCAATGGTGTGGAGGGGGCTGTGCAGGTGTCTATACAATTTCACTGTGTCCTTTTTAAATGATCCATTTCTCATAATATGAGATATGATATCTCATATTATGTAAATGATTTACAGCAACACACAATTCTTCATCATTTACACTAAAGTCTGACATGTGAAATAGCACAGTGTTTGAACTGAACAAAATACCTGAGAATATAAAAGAAACTCTAAAAAGGACCTTTGCACACTGACTTCTTCTTTCTGGCTCAGTGGTTGTACTTTTGCACTCTGCTTTGAAGGCACACAGCTCGAATGTCTTCTATTCACCTGCACAAAATGCTCTTCTTCAGCACGCTCCTTTATATGCTTACCATTAACCATGAACTCAGCATGAAGAACGGGTCAATCCATGAACGTAGTTTAAAGACGGTGAGCTTTAAAAAGTCCTGAAAGTTTCACTTAATATTGTGGTTGCAAAAAAAAGTATGTGCTCTATGCTAAATGGCTCCCAAAAATAGTTTTTAATTACGTGACACATTTTTTGACCAGTCTGGCGAAGATTTAAAAAATGATTTTTTTTCCGGGAGCCACTCAGGTTCTCAGATATTTCTCACTTTTTCTGATGAGCATGAGTCATCTGTCCTTTCTTCAGCACTCACCAGTCTTCTGTGTAGCAAAGAGAATGATGAGGGCGACAATGACGATGAAGAGCAAGGAGACAATAGTAATGAGGCCGATCTCCAAGGAGGTCCAGCGGGGCTTTTTAGCCGACTTGGGGGGGTTGGTCTCTGTCATTCTCAGGTCTCCTCCTTCAGCTGCCAGCTGTATCAACTCACCTGAGGAGAGAGGGAGAACCACAGAGGAACACAGACGTAGAGCTGCAATCAACTGACATGAAATTAATAAGCAAAAATTTCAATGCATGCCAAACATTTGCTGTTTGAATATAAAATGTACAGCTTTTCTCTAGTTTATACCTAAATTGAATATTTTTATCTTTGTGAAAAACAAGCTATTTTAATCTGGGCTGTCAGAAATTGTGGTGGACATTTTACATACATACACATTTCATTGAAGGGAGACTACCAAAAATGTAATCTGAATTTGTGCATATGGAATTTGTCCACAAAATATGACTTGAACACATTTTCATTCTGTAAGAAGTATGCAAAAATGCCAAACACTTGCTGTAGCTTCTCAAATGTGAGGATTTTGGCAAAATACCAGTTTCAATCTAAATATATTGATTTTTATGTTAACAAAGCAAACATTTTGTTAAGTCTCCAGACTTTTTAGGTAGAAGCCAAAGAAAGAAAATACAACGAGTGAAAGGGAGATAAAAGACACATGAAAGTGATAAGAAAACAAATGAGAATAAAAGACAAACAGTATTTCTTTTTAACCAGTCCTGGAGCAAAAGGTGAGAACAATGGAAGTTCTTACCCTCTGGTGGCAGTACACTCCAGACAAAAACAACAAAAACAAACAAGAAACACACACACTTCTGAAGAACGGAAAACAAGAGAGACCTTTCCTCTGCTCCTCACTATACAGTGTTGTTTTCCTCTCGGGGGCCAAGTGAGAACTTTACAAAGTTCATGTAACAAGCAGTTAAGTCTATCTCTGAAGGCAATTAATCCTTAATCCCTTACTGATGGCACACACACGCTCATGCAATCAAGGCACACACACACGCACACAAGTCCACAGCAATGCTCTCACATACACTTAAACTACAAGCTGGTGTCATGAAGCGCCTGTGCAGATGGGTGGGTCTCTCTGGCTGAGATGAGAGCGCAGCTCGACTAAAGGACAAAGTCTCTTAGCTTCCTTTGAACAAGTAGACAGCCTCCGACACACAACATCACCTACTATACACACACATCCACATGCATCACTCTCGCACATAACCACAGTCCTGCTGAATGTCAAATCCCCTATCATTCTTCTTCATGACTAAACAATAGCCCAATGTATAGTAAACTTCCCTGGTTACAGTCATTATCCAGCCTGGTAATTGGCCATTACTTTATAAAGCTAACCAACAAGCTGCTCGTCCAACTTATTTGCAGGGTTTGTGTTTGAAGGATGTGATTTTACAACGATTTAACAATCTTAAAGGCAACTAAAATACGGGAAATGGGAAATTAATGATTGACGGCAGTTTTATGACATGAGTTGATGTGTTAATCATTGCTTCCTGTCAACCTCTCTCTGGCTGCAGCAGGGGGCAGAAACTTTCAACCTTTTTTTTTTTTGTTCTGCGAACAAACACATCACCGTGACAGCAGTCCCACAGCTCTAATAAAACCATGCGTGCATGTCAGCGTTGGAGAGGCTGTACATTATATTCATTCGCTCTAATCCTGGCACAATGCATGCCAAGAAATGGAACGCCTGCTAAATGTATGAAAAGGGAAAGGGACCTAAAAATGGAGTGAAGGAATGTGCAAAAAGTGTGTGGGGGGGGGGGGGAGCAGTAAAAACAGAGCGGGACACCGGTTTTTTTTGTTTTTCCCGCTCAGGTCCTAAATCATGTTTAAGTGACTCCCTCTCAGTGTGCTGAGACATGTTAGGTATGAATCTTAAGGACTGCTTACTGTATGTCCCTTTTGTGGATTATCACTCATACAAAATGCTTACGGCTGTGTTTCTTTACACGGCTCAGTAGGAATTAGTCATTGGACATGTTTAAAGTCAGGTAATTCTCATTAAATGATCCTCAGTGCTTCTGGTTTCATTTAGGAGTAGTACATGTATGACACTGATACCTTTAAGGTTTGCTCTGTGAGGGAGGATGTGTCCTAGTCTAATTCTAATCTGTGCGTGAGTTATTTGGAAGGTGGGCTGTCATTTCTGCTGCTGATGTTCCTGCTCTTGTTACAGGACGCAGTCACTGTTTTTACTTTTTATAATGTGGCTCTGATGTCTCTTTTCCTGAGCGTGTTTTGAAAGGAATATGCTGCCTTGTCTGCATTTTTAAGATAAGGAGCACCAAAAGTCAAAACTCTCTCTATTTCTCCGCTCCCTGTCTGTCTGTCATGATATATATAAAACATAAAACGTTCCCATGTCTTGTGAGACCTCACAAACCCCTTCAAAATTAAACCCATCATTCACTGAGACACCTGAAAACACCCATGTGTCTGGACACACACATACACACACATGCACACACAAGTCAACAGGAGGCTGCTTGCACAAAGTCACTTTTTTACAACCTACATCAATGTGAGCCATGAACATGTCATGTACCTAATTGAGTTTGAATAAGTACAGGAATGTGGCCTACTTTAACTTAAAATAACACCTTCCTGGGATATGATTTGCAGCACTGGGCCTATAGCAGCTCACTGAACACTAAAATCACTTTAAAATCATTTTTTGAGAGAGGAGACTTGATGCCCAAAGGTGCTGTGATCTAGGTGAAATGAAGCCAACCTCTTAAATTGCTTGCCTAATGTTTTTTTTCTTTTTTCTGATATCAGTATAAATGGAAAAGGAAAAATAACTTTTAAAGGGATAAAACAACTTAAAAATATCACCAGTGCCAACATAGCTACAGTGAACCAAAACCACAAAGTAAGCTTACCTACCTGGATAATAATATTTAAAGTATTTTGTTGATAAGACCAAATACCTAGGTGTCAAAACTCCAGTGATAAAAATATTCAGCTGCAGCACACATAGTGATTTGCAACTGAGAAGACGCATGATAGATGCGTGCCAGCTCCTCATCTCCTGTTGCACGTCGGGAATTCCAAGGGGGGTGGCATGATCAACTGGTGCACGCTGCCCCGTGTCACCCGGACGGCACACGCGCACGCACACACGCAATAATAATGCACTCACCCGCGCGCGCGCACACACACACACAGACAGACGCACACAGATGGCACGGCGTTATAAGAAGCGCTCGGGGTGCGTGAGCGACTTACCAGATGTGTCGGGAAATTTTCGGTCGATGATATATATGGGCATCACATCCACTGATCAAACATCCATCAAATCCACAAAGGGAGCGCGAAGTGCTGATCGATCTGTTACAGACTGTGTATTTGCTTCACCCTGGATTTCAACAAGGCACAAACCGATCCCGCCTCTCTTCTTCTTCTTCTTCTTCTCCTTTTTCTTCCTTTGGATTTCTATTCTAGGAGTGCACATTCACATAAACACACACACACACACACTCACGCACAGACCCTTCACTACCTACTACTGTATACTGTCTGTACCACATCTAGCCTCAGAGGATCGCTGAATTCAAATGAGCCATCAGACTCTTGCGCGGCGCAATTGGTCAAGTGTGTGATCCACAGGGGGGAGATCCCATATTTATACAGCCTATGACATATAGTGAGGCAATGAAGCAGCCTTGTGAAGTTCCCTGTCAAACAAGTCGTCGCCTCCTCCGTCAGGGCGGCGTTTAGAAGTGACCCTGTCAGCGGCACTTGCTGTCAGTGGCGCCTAAATAGCTCCAGGGCGCAGGTTCAGGTGAACACTGTGGTGAAGTGATGTGTACTATATTTCAGTGTGCTTACTCTTATGGTTGTCAACAGCTTTTAATCCAAAGCACTTTGTGGTTAGAAAGAGCTTATAAAATCCTTGTTGTAATAATACTGTTTTTACTATAGTGAGTGCCCTTCTGCTTTTTAGTATAATTATTTTCTACAGTAATTTAATAATTTACAGTAATTTACATTTAGAATGATAAATAGTTTCTTTCTAAAACAAAATTTTATAATATGACCAATTCCTTAATATCAGTAGTGTAAATGCACTTAAAGGTCATGACTTTTTTGCTACACACTGCAAGATAGTTTTGGGGGTGATGTCCCCTGAAGGTCCCTGAACCTTTCTTTGGGAACCACTCAAATCACAAAGAACTAAACAATTTAAACCCCTGATTTAAACACATATTTGACTGTCAGGTCTGACTGTGCTGTGGTTATGACACTAAACGAGATCAGGGAGTTTGAATAAATTGTCACATGGACTGACAGTAACTACATACAGCTGCATACAGCATGACAATTAATCCCTATCCAAATGGTTGGGAAGGTTACATGGTTATATAAAATATTAGGATACATTGGCAGAATCCAATATAATATAAATAGTTATGTTTTCATTCAAGTATAATCACCTGAAAATAAGGATCGTTTTTTTTTTACCTTAGAATGAGCCGCTTTTAACTACAGAGGAAGCGGGTCCTCTTCCATGGAGGCCGCCATGTTGAACCATGATGTTTCTACAGTAGCCCAGAACGGACAAACCAAAGATCGGCTGAAGATAGGGCTTTTTGAGGCCTCTGTTGTTTCTCCTACATATTTGGGAGGTTGAGCTGTATTCAAATGGTTGCAATCTGAAACTTCACCGCTAAATGCCACTGAGTCCTACGCACTGGTCCTTTAAGCCAATTTGAAAATGGAATTTCACAGTATGCCTATAGCAGTGGTGCATTAGTGAGTTTTTTAGACATCTAGGTTAAAAATAACTTTAATTTAAATTATATTTTAGTGTGTAGATTTGTAGACAAAAAAAGTGCTTATACATGTTAAAAGTTTCAAATGTAGCCTAGTTTAAATCTACAGACACCTTTATTTCCACTATTTTGATATGCAAATCACCATTCTCATGGGTTTCTTTACTGTTATACACAGCTGTCCTCACACAGCAATGTATGTCAATCACAGAAGCAGTTAAGTGCACCATATAAGTAGGGTTGAACCAAGACAATTGCCACTGTGCTTCTATACTGAGGATTAAGTCTGTCAGGAGGACCTTATAATGTATTTGATCCTAAAACCCTGCTTTCTCTGTTACTCTAAACCACTAGAGGGTCATTGGCTTCTATACATTTTTACAATATTGTGACATGGCTTACTATCTATCCTCATAAAACATTTACTTTGATCTATTTGCTCTGAATTGTCGCTGCTTAGTTATATAGTTACGTGACCTTTTGCTCATGCCTCCTTTAATGTTGAACCCCAAAGTTCACCAGAGGGTCACCTCTGTAAGAGCAATTAACTCTGCAAACACATAAGGATGTTGGGTCTAAAAGGGAAAGTTAGCATCACAGTGAGAGGAAAGCAAATAAAATAAAAAAGTATGTCACTGCAGAGAATAAATGACCTAATTTCAGAGGGAGCGAGGGAGTTTAGCAGATGAGAAATTATCATTGTTATCAGTGGCTCATCATTTTAATGTGATCAGAATTAAGCTACAGTTGCTTGTGCACATTTGTATGTTGTATGTAGTAGTGTATGCAGTGTAGTGTATGTCAGTACAGAACATTTTACTATATGGTTATGTTGTAAGTGAGATGGCATACCCATCTACCAAAAGAGACATTTTTTGATGACACATACATATGCTACGATTGGAAAACTGGACTTTTTTTTCTAAACTATCTTTCACTACAGCCAAACCATGTCATGAGGCCCTTCGATTTCATCTCTGCATATGCTCTGATTATAGCTCTACTGCCAATTATCTACTCTAAACTGAAAAGATAAATGCTTATGCAAGCCTATTATAGTGTCATCCCATCATACCATCCATTTTTCATTGCTTCTGATAATGAACAGCTTGATTCCCCTCTAAGGGATTTCCATCTGTGTATATATCTTTTGAATATCTGTGAAGCTGAACTGACAGTTTTCACAGTAGCTGCCTGTCAATGCATCTAAAGGATGTTCACATTTGCCGGCAGTGCAACCTCTGTGATCATATTTTCCATCATTTTGTTGCTGCGCTCTTCAAATAAAACCCTTCGCCCCTTCTCTGTTGGCCATTTGAGCTCTGTTCACTGTCAGTAAACCCAGCATGTTATGGACTCCTGGAGAGTATTGGATTTTAATTGCGCTGTGCCCAGGGTGACACAGGTATTAAGCAGTCTTTTGTTGCAAAAATAGCCGCATGTGTGCAAACACAGGCACAGATACAGATACACAGACTCACATGCACTCTGCATTACTCTTTAGGTTTCAAGTATTTCTCAATGAAACCAGTGCCAGAAACTGTTACACAGATCAGATCGTCACTAAACAAGTAGCAACATGTGCATTACGTCAGTACCATTTAGATGCAAGCCATGTGGTTTTAATTGTACCCTATTAGAAGAATTTATTTATTTCAAACAACAAACATATTCCTGCCTACTTTTATGAATTATGATCAGAGTTTTGAGTGACAGGTTTCGCTATCAATTAACATGAACTGTTCACTGCCACTGTATAAAACATGAATAATGTGTTCCAGAGAACTGGTACTGCAAGGAAGCAAACACCATGACTAATAAGCAGTTCTGCATTTGGTCCACATATGCTTGTGAATCACACAGAACAGCAAGTTTGTCACAATTTCAAGAAGTAATTTTTTTTTTTTTAAAGGCATTCTACGGATGTATAATCTTTTGAAGGTTCTTTGATTGGCTCAAGGTCACTCAGATGGGGTGGCCTATCAGCACTCCCCTTCAGGAACTGTCAGGGGAGTGATTCTCCTATCAGCAACAGACGGCCTGTCCAGTTATGCTCAAAGTCTGCTGTCAGTGCATATAAACACACACATACACACACAACCTAGCACTAAAGTACAGAACCACACAAACACACCCACACGGGCAAGGACTCACACATATTAATAACTTCACGACTGTCACTCAGAGAGAGGGGCTTTCAGACTGAGGTTTGTGCCGGTCATAAGGCAGCAAGAAGAGGAACAGAGAAGACAGACAGATAGATAAGAAGAGGAAAATGGTTAAAAGTGGCAACTTACCCAATATTTCCAGCCTGACAGAGAGTTTAGAAGTTTTTTATTTGGTTTTGTAATGTGTTAGGAATTGGATTGGGGGAAATATTGTTTTGAGTGTGTCCAAACACAGAATTCTACTATAATAAAAAGTTTTACTGTTGAGCTTTTGTTGACTTCACAACTCCATGTTACTGTTCTTTGCAGTCACTCCAGTGATTTCGGTATGAAATATAATGTGTCATAAAACATTAGTTAAGTGTACACATGGGAAGCAGCTGCAATATTGAAGCAAAGCTGGATGATGTTCTCTTTTTACACACATACACACACAAATTTGCTTTCATCAACAAGATTTAACCTTTTTGTCCCCACATAGGACGTGAGTCCCGATATTGTGACTCTGTAGTTTTTTGTCCCCACTATGTATGTATGTATGTATGTATGTTTCTACTCACACACGCTCACACATATAAATACATAAAATTTTTCCTGATACACATTATTTGTGGGCAGATTGTTTTTGTAGTGACATTCAAGGTTTTTCCAATTTTATTTAAAATGCAAGTGGGAAAAATATCTCTTATCTTTCTCTCTTTTTTGCATCATCCTGTGTGTTCACCTGCGTCATTGCTTTTATGATTATCAGTTTAGGAGCCGACATGAACAAAGTCACAATTGAAGAGACATTTCCTTTCATCGGTTAGTATCCTCTTCACTTGCCCACACTTGCTTTGCCATAGTGAGTTGGTATCTGGAAGAATCTGCTTATGTGAAAAGGAATGACAGGTGACTCAGAAAGCCTGTTTCAAGAAACTCCCATGTAAATCATATTACTAAAGTATTTGCAATTTTACTTTGAGAAAAAATCTGACAGGCATTATTTTGAGACACACTAAACACAAATGTGTGGCTATATCACACATTTTTTTTATTGTTTCTCCTAACAGTCTCTTAACAGTCCTCTTCTCTGCCCTCTCCTTTTATCTTATGCATGCCAGTACCTGTTGAATTCATTCAGATGCCAATGACAACAGAGTTATTGAGTCATTATAAAGCTTTCATGTCATGCGTATCCGCCCAGCAAAGGAAGCTTTACACTTGGTAGTTGCACCTTAACTATTACCATTTTAGTTTATTTAAAACTGCACACATGGATGTTGTACATTAACAATAGATCAAATTAATTAATTAATTAATGTGTAATGTAAAAGGGCTCACCTGATGAATGCACAGAGAATTGTCACCCACAAAGAGTTTCCTCATTTAGGTCTACAGACATCAGTCTTGACTTTTTCAACAGCCTGATATCTAGCCTCAGCAGGCCGCTGTTTTCAGTGTAAAAGTCCAGATGAATACTGTATGCTACTTAGGACAAGGTTAGCAATTAGCTGGTGAACGTAGTCAAGCAATTAGCAGCTGAAACCTAGATATTTTTGCTGGATGTGTAAATAGGCAGCTGTTTGCTAACTCTTCAAACATAGCAGCTTTATACGGTGAAAATATATTTCTTTGCCTCTAAGTGGGCAGAAACTCAATTAGTGCAAATTTAAAGCCACTTTGTGTAAAATTTCAAAACACAGGCAGACAACAATGCATGTCCCTACCCTTTAGTCCCTGAATGGGTTCAACCCAAAGATTACTGAGAGGAATG